TACTGTTGCGCTTGGAGTAGCCTGTCCTGGACCTCAGCGAGGTACTCATCACGGCGGGCCAGCATAGCATCAAGATCTTCAGTAGCAGCTGTCCCCCGGTCGTATGGCAGCAAGGACGGGGGTGGCCGCCCATACACCACCTGGAATGGAGTCGTGCGGAGGGGGGAGTGGAACGAGGAGTTGTAGCAGAACTCCGCCCATGGCAACCAGTCCACCCAGTCGCGAGGATGATCGCCGGTAGTACAGCGAAGGTACATGGTGATGACCTTGTTGACCGCCTCCGACTGGCCGTCAGTTTGGGGATGAAAGGCGGAGCTCATGCGCAACTTGACCCCAGCCAGCCGGAACAGGTCACGCCAAAAGTGGCCTGTGAAGACAGGGTCTCGATCGCTCACGATCGACTCCGGAAAGCCGTGCAAGCGGACGATGTCGGTGAAGAATGCACGGGCGACGGAGGCGGCCGTGTAAGGATGCCCCAATGGAATGAAGTGGGCATACTTGGAGAACCTGTCAACCACCGTAAGCAGCACGCTCTTACCATGAACCTTGGGCAGCGCCTCAATGAAGTCGAGCGAAATATCAGCCCACACCCGCGATGGCACCGGCAGAGGCTGAAGTAGACCGGCGGGGTGCAGAGCTTCAGTCTTGTTGCGCTGGCACGTAGCACATGTACGGATATAATCCCACACAACATGCCGGTCATGTTCCACGGCGAAGTCCGTGCGGAGGCGCTGTAGGGTCTTCTGGATGCCCTCATGGCCAACCGTGTGAGCCAACCGCAGGAGATTAGGAAGCACCGCGGACGACTCGGGCACGTACACCCGGCCATCCCGAAGGATCAGCCCCTCGCGCACCGTCCACGCTGCGCCGTGGTCGCCATTGGTGACAGCATCGCGGAAGGCGCGCTGATCTGCGTCGTTGTCGAACTCATGGCGCAGCTCGTTGTAGAGGTCAAACGCCGGCACAGACAATGCTGCCAGCGATGCATCAGCGCTGGTCAAGGCCTCTAGCAGGGGAACATCTCCATCACGCCGTGAGAGGGCGTCTGCGACTGTGTTGGCGCGGCCAGGCTGAAACTCCACCTTGAAATCAAAGCCAAGAAGCTTGGAGACCCACTAAGTTTGTGGAATTGTCGATAGGCGCTGATCCAGCATGTATTTCAGCGCATAGTGATCCGTGCGCACGACAAAAGCACGACCCTAGAGGTAGGGGCGCCAATGACGCACGGCGTGGACGAGCCCAATTAGCTCACGCTCGTACGCCGCCACTTTGAGATGCCGGGCTGCGAACGGCCGGCTGTAGAACGCCAGCGGACCTGCTCCTTGATGTAATACCGCGCCAAAGCCGGAGCCGGACGCATAACAGTCTACCACGAACTCCTTGCTGAAATCTGGTAGATGAAGAACAGGCGCACTGGACAGGGCCCCCTTTAGGGCGTCGAACGCTGCTGCTACCTCCTCCGTCCACTGGAACGCATTCTTCCGCAGGAGCTACGTGAGGGGCGCTGCGATGGCGCCAAAGTCCTGGATAAAGCGGCGATAATAGCCAGCCAAACCCAGGAAGCCACGCAAGCCGCGGGCGGAACGCGGCTGAGGCCAAGACTGCACAGCTTCCACCTTGGAGACATCCATGGAGACGCCAGCTTCTGAAATCACATGTCCTAGGTAGTGGACCGCCCTTGCAGCGAACGCGCACTTGGCGCGCTTGAGATGTAGGTGATGCGCGCGCAAAACGTCGAGGACGGCGCGGAGGTGCTGCATATGTGCTGTCCAAGAGCCACTGTAGATCAGTATGTCATCGAAGAAGACAAGGACGCAGCGGCGCAGGAAGGACTTGAGGCCGGAGTTCATTAGTGCCTGGAACGTAGAAGGAGCATTGGACAAGCCAAAAGGCATGACCAAAAACTCAAAGTGGCCATGGTGCGTTCGGAACGCCGTCTTGTGCACATCATCGCGGTGGACACGCACTTGATGATATCCGGAGCGAAGGTCCAGCTTTGTGAAATAGCGGGCACCATGGAGCTTGTCAAGCAGCTCCTCGACCACCGGTATAGGGAACTTGTCCTTGACGGTGACGGCATTGAGTGCCCGGTAGTCGACGCAAAACCTCCAGGTGTTGTCTTGTTTCTTGACCAGCAAAACAGGTGCTGAGAACAGAGATGTGCTAGGCTGGATCAGGCTGTGCTATAGCATGTGCTCACACTGCGCCTCAAGCTCGTCCTTTTGAATTTGAGGGTATCTGTAGGGACGAACAGCCACCGGCTCGGCTGCTGGCTTGAGATGAATGCGGTGATCGCAGTCACGAGCCGGGGGCAGACCTGCTGGAGTGGCGAAAACGTCGCTGTATGTGTCCAGGAGGCGCTCCAAGAGGTCCTGCTCAGATCCTGTGTCGGTGAAGAGGGTGCTGGACAGCAGAGGGTCGGCTGTTGGTGCTGGCAGCGAGCCCGACGCCTCCACTCCCACCCAGACAACGCGACGGCCACGGAGGTTGAAGGCTATGGTACGTGTCGCGAAGTCGCACAAGATAGGTCCCAGGGTACGCAGCCAAGCGATCCCTAGGACGATGTCGCAGCCCTGCACGGGGATGGAGAACATGTCGAGGTGGAAAGATTCCCTGCCGATCTGAAGAAGGACGTTGCGGCCCAGGCCTTGGCACGCCATGCGTTCGCCGTTGGCCACTACGACGTGAGCGCCCCGGCTATCGAAGAGGCGCAGGCCCGCACGGCGCGCAGCACTCGCCCTGATGAAGTTGTGCGTAGACCCGGAGTCCAACAGCGCCGTGAACTCATGCGCACCGATCCGGACGCGCAGCTGCATGGTGCCCGAGTCGCGAATACCTGTGATGGCAGACAGGGAAATCATAGGGGCATCAGGGTCAAAAGGGGGCGGATCTGCAGCAGGTGGCGCTGCCTTGTTGTCCTCAGCGTCGTTGTCCGACTCCTCCACGATGTAATCGGCGACCTCGAGGTAGAAAAGCCGGGCGCACTTGTGGCCCCGCACATAAGGCTCGTCGCAATTGTAGTAGAGCCCTTGCCTGCGACGTTCCGCCATCTCCTCCGGCGTGAGCCTCTTGAAGGGGCGCTGCGACGTTGCCGATGAAGAGGAGGAGGCTGCAGAGATCGTCCCTGTGGCTGCAGGAGTCGTAGGGGCCACTCCAGTGGCGCGGCGGAGGTGGCAACGCGAGCTGCATCGGCGCGTTCCGGCGCTCGTACGCACGTGCCAGGTGCATCGCCCGCTGGAGGTCCTGCGGATTGTGGAGTTCCACATCGACGCGGATGTGCTCGGGCAGCCCTCCGGTGAACAGTTTGGCCTTTTGGCCCGGCGACAGCCTGCCTTCATGCGCCACCCGTGCCTGGAACGCCTCCATATAAGCATCAACTGTGGAGGTGAAGGGAAGGCGCGCCAGGTCGGAGAGATGATTGGTGCTGAGGGGCGGACCGAACCGTTGTTGACAGAGTGTGCGGAAGTCATCCCAGATTGGGCGCCCAGCATCAGACTCGAGCATCAGGTACCACTGCTGGGCGACGCCAGTGAGGTGGTACGACGCGAGCCAGACCCGGTCTTGATGGCGTGTCTGATGGCCACTGAAGAACTGCTCGCATTTGTTCAGCCAGCCGAGCGGATCCTCCTAGCCGTCGTATGTCGGGAACACGAGCTTGTGGTACTTGGGAACCACGTGACCCTCCTGTGCCCCTTGCATCGGCAGAGGAACAGACATCCGCGCAGGTGCCGACACCGCCGGAGCCGACGCCATTGGCATGCCCCCCATGACGGACTCGAAGGAGGGGATCGGCGAGGGTGACGACGGAAAGCGAATCTGCGTGATCGGCACGCCGAACTGGCTGGCCGACGTCGGTGGAGCCCTTGGCGCAGCGGTGGTCGCCATTGGAGCTGATGGCGCTGCAGTGGACATCGGAAGCACACTGGACGACGCAGAGCTTGCATCCGGGAGTACGGGCGCAGATGAGGCCGGCAGCGCAGCGAAGCCGGGTTGCGGCAACTGTGGTAGGTGCGCTGCAGTGGGCAGGTCCCGCCCATCAATGGCCGTTAGGCGCTGCGCCATGTTGGTCATCTGAAAGTTCAGCAGGGCCATCTGGTTCTGAATGCCTTGGATGGCATTGGTGAATTCCGTCAGAGATTCCGCAGGGATCGCGTACATCTGCGGCGGCGGTGAAGGCTGCGAGGTGGGGGAAATCAGGGCCCCCGATGTAGCAAGGACAAGGGCGCCTGATGTGGCTGGAACCCCAGACGTGGGGGGGCTCGAGGTGGGTGGAATTGGCGGCAGAACGGCCTCGGACGTCGACATGAGCTCTGATACCAGGTTGTTACGACGCCTGGCCTTGCTGCGGAGGAAGTAGGGAGGAGAGACGGGGGCGAGCAGGCTTGGGGGTTTGCGGTGTGCTGGAGCCGTGATCTTAGTCACGGCAACAGAGGGACGAGGAACAGGAGTGCCAGGCGCCCGAGGGAGATAAGAATATCTCAATCCCAGGCTGAAGTTCGCCTTTATAGGCGTTACAAGACCTGCCAATAACATAGCTAACCGACTCTCCAAGTCCTAGACTCCTAAAACAACTCTTAACCAATCAATCTAACTTAACTTAGACTCTAACTCTTCCTCCAAACCGACTCTGTAGACACAGCGCATGCATGTGCGCCTAAAATTAGGACTCCCAGCCATGACCTGACCGCGTGCTAGGATTAGCCACGCTGCCTACGATGATAGGTCTTACCGACCATAACAAGGGCATTACAAGAGGCAGGGTGAACAGATGGAGGTTAAACAGCCTAATTATTTTGCCTTTCCTCGTCAAAGTCATACATCCAATTGGTGTAGTGACAAACGAGTTCTTTTCAGTTCTTTGAGACATTTCCTTTCTGAGGTTCAAGTCATATGTTTTATTATGTAATTGTTACTACTGTAAGATGTTGCTTATTCAAATTGTAGGTTTTCTTTTGTCGTGCGTTTCTGCAAATGCTTCTGTAATTTTTTTCTCTTGACAGTCTGGGCGCCTTCCGATTGAACTTGCTGCATATGAGAACAGAAGGAAAGATGTGGAGATTCTACTTCCAGTAACTTCACGTGTTCCGTATGTGCGTGATTGGAGTGTTGATGGGATAATTGATTTTGTGAGATCAATGCCATCAGTGGAGGTATTGCCAATTTAAGTTCCTCTTCATTGTTCTGTTTTAATGTGTTAGTTGACTATGGTGGTAGACAACTTCCTATTCTTTTGATTCTTTAATGCATAATGCCATAATCTTAACAGGAAGGGTACTCACAGCATGTGTATCCAACTATCCATTTATCCTCTTGATAGGAAGCAATGCGAAGTTTATTGTTGTGTGGTAAATCGAGTAGTTGATTATGCAATCATAGTATCTTACAGATTTGAAGTGAGTTCATAAGATGTTTAGATCAGAAGTTCATATTTGTTTTCAGAATCTTCTCGTCCTTCTCAAGTACTAGTAGTTCATGTAACCTTTCCTCCTTTACACATGTCCTTGTTCTTTTGCCCAAATGGTTTATTTTGTTTCAGGATGACCCCATGTACAAAATGAAACCAGATGATATCAAGTTTGAAGGAAACAAGGCGTATAAGAGAAAGGATTATCTTACTGCTGTAAAACTCTACTCTATGGTATTATTCACCGTCTCTCTCAGCCTGAACTTAATTTGCTGTTTTGTGATATCTAATTGACAGTTGGTATGGTTTTGGTTTGAATTATTCTAGTCCCTAGTGAGATTTTATGAATACAAAATTGGTTTGCTTTTCTCTTATTTGTTCTTTTTCTGTTCAAATTTTTATTTCTGGTTCCTTCACATTTGTGTAGGAAGTTAATGATGCAAATTCCTGCATTTACTGGTAATGAAAGAGGCTGCTGTTGTGATAAAGTACCAATCGCCTAAGTTTTCTGGATGAGTAACATGAATGCATTATGGGATCCTTTTGTCAGTCTTCATACTGTTGTAAAACTTCACCAGAATATCATACAGTAGATTGATTACATGATACGGAGCAGCTATGATAACTGTGGGTTCAAATCCTATATGTTTTAAGAAAACATCAAGCATGGCTTGAATTTGCTGATTACCCTCGGTGCTTGGATTCTTTGGAAATATCGCAGCTATTGTGTGTTTAATGGATCTGTTCCAAACATATAGCTTGTGCTTAGAAATATCCTTGAGGAGGCTCACTTTGGTGCATTGCTGCTCCAAGGGGCTAGCCAGATTGGAGGTAGGAGATTTGATATATAAGGTGAAAAAACCCTTTTTTGGATGGATATGTCTTTTAACTTCTGTATCCTAATAATCTGATGCCGTAATCAAGTCGAGTTTACCAACTCAAGTCTTCTAAATGAGCTGTCCTACCAAATTTGTCTACTCACTCTAGAGAAGTCCAGTACTGTATGTGAGTGGCAACAAGTAAATGTGACAATTCCTCTTTTTTTTTCTTTTTCCTTTTGAATGCAGGCAATAAACCACAGTCCTGATGATACGACCTTGTACTCAAATAGGTGCCTTTGCTGGCTTAAGATGGGTGAAGGAGTCCGGGCATTCACAGATGCTGAGTTTTGCAGGATGCAGCGCCCTGATTGGGCAAAGGCCTGCTATCTACAAGGAGCTGCTAATATGTTACTTAAGGTGAGATAAAATGCATGCTTTTCAGCTACTCTTCATCTGTGCCAAATCCTTTTCTTTTTTTTTTTCTACTGACACAGTGACTCTTCTGTCTTCAGGACTACGAAAAGGCATGTGATGCATTTCTTGATGGTCTCAAACTGGACCCAGCAAATGTTGAGATTGAGAAAGCATTACGGTATTGCACTCATCATACCTTTCATTATCATCAGACAGCATAGTCTGCAAGGATAACTCCGACTTCCATACCCATATTCTATTCAGAAATTTCGTTGTCTCGAGACATACATTGTGACTTACCAGCGAATTAGATAATTGTGTTGCATCTGAATCCATTAGAGCATCATGTACATGTCATGTGCTTCTGCATCTGCATTTAAAATGCTTTAGCAATGGACATAATTTGTTGTGCAGGGATGCCGTCGACTGCTTGAAGACACATCACACGGCCAAGTAATTGTCAAGATTGCCTTATGCCAAGGGACACTTGTCCAGAAGATAGAAGTACCACGACTTTTGCTAGTTCCTTGTCACCTGTCGGCGTGTAAAGACGCGTTCTGTTTAAGAAACCATCTAGTCTTGTAAATATGCTTCCTTTCTTCTCACTCTCAGTTAGGTCATGATGAACTACGTAGAATGTTGTGTGGAATTGCTGGCCACGTAGGTCTCATGAATCAAAACATTATGACCCTCCTTTTACTAATTTTTCGATGCTGAGTGCTGAGAAAAGCGTAGACTCAATATTTAAGTGGTCGTTCGAATGCAACTTGTATGTGCACTGTTGTGCTTTACTCCAGTGTGGTTGATCATGGATACATGCTCGAGCCGCACCCAACACCTGGATCGATATAGCGTGACATACTCAGGACTTTGCTAGGTTGCTTAGGTGAGGTAAGGCTGATTTGAACGAAACGAATTGAACCATCCTAAGATTCGCAAGCGCCTGTTTTGAGTTTGCATATACTGTAGCTATAACCTTCATTGTCTGTTGGTTGAATTTAGTAGAGGGGTTAGAGGTGGCCAATTTGCTTAACTGAAACGAGGAGATTGAATTTAGATACAGCGTTGAAGACGATCACATGCATAGTGGAGCAGATCCAATTGTGGTCTAATTATTGTGCTGTTATGTTCTTGATTTACAAAACGTGTAAATTCAATCCAGGCTTACTGCTCAAATTAGGATTCTGTTCAATAGCATGTTTGCTGAGAACAAGTTCCTCGTTTATTAGTTCGTCTATCTAAAAAATTGTTGATCTGATTTTGTTGGTACCAGTCTAGTACTATTATTTGTCCTCATATATCTATGTATATTGCCAAAGAAAAAAAATGTTAATTGATTATATTTCAATTGTACTACTTGTCAGATGATGATGGATCGAGTAAGCTAAAACTGGATACTGGATATCAAGATGGTATTGAGCAAATTTTGGTTTTGGTTACCGGGACATTCTAATTTTTTGCACCCTCAACCATATGAGATATTTACTAGCTACAAGGCAACTCTTAACATGCAGAAATGCTCTCCTTAGGGCGTTTGTGCGTCTGGACACTCCCGTTGTCGTGGGCTACCTGAACGGCCCACTGTGTTTGGCCCTCAACAACTCCACTCCAAAAGTTTGCAAAAAAAAAACCCACTCGCCTGCGCCGCCGAGGATTCCGGCGTGGTCCACGACGATCGCTGCGGCGCGCCCGGCAGACTGCCTGGCGCCATCCTTCCTCTCCACCGGACCTTCCTTCGACGCTGCTCAGGCATCGCCGTGCCCACGGGTGGGGACCACTTTCTTGGCCGCAAGCTAGCCACCCGAGGCCGCTACGCGCGTGCTCGCGCCCGACGACGCCGACAGGTGCCGCTAGCGCAAGGAGAAGCGCTGGGCCTTGGCATGGAAGCCCTCCGGCCTCACCTCCTGCTACGATTGCAGCGCCTCAATGTAGACGGCGGTGGAGGTCGTACCGTGATACGATGCATGTTGCAAGCACACATTTCAAATGTTTCAGGTGTTTTAGGGGTATGCTGCAAGTGTTTCATACAGATGTTGCAAAAATTGATCGGGATGTTGCATATGTTGTAATGGTTGTACACGTATGTTGCAAGCGTCTATCCCATTTCATCAATTTTTTCAGACGTATGTTGCAAGTGTGTTTATCTGGATGTTGCATATGTTTTACACATATGTTGCATGTTTATCTGGATGTTGCGTATGTTTAAAATGGTTTTCAGGTGTTTTTGCAAGTGTTTCAGATGCATGTTTAAGTGTTTCATCTACCTTTAAACGTATGATGCAAGCGTTGCATCTAGATGTTGCAAACGTATGTTTTAAGCGTTTCAGAGGTATGTTGCAAGTATTTTTATATCGATGTTGCAAATAAAAGTAGATTGGGATGTTGCAAAAGTAGATCGGGATGTTGCACATGTTGGAATGACAAAATACACATGTTGTAAGCCTATGTTTCAAGTGTTTCATCAGACATATGTTGCAAATGTTTTATCTGGATGTTTCAAAAGTAGATCATGGTGTTGCACATGTTGCAATGGCTATACGCACATGTTTCAAGTGTTTCATCTGTTTCAGACGTATCTTACAATTGTTTCATTTGGATGTTTCAAAAGTAAATCTTGGGAAAGCACATGCTGCTGCTAGTGCGCCGCCGTGGGTCACCGCGCGCGTCCGCTGGTGGTGGTGGTGCTGCTGCATGCATGTGGGCGCGTGAAACGGAGCGGGCTCAGGGTGGTCCCCGAGCATGCGTGGGCCCGCGCGGCCTCTGGAGCAGGATGGGTCCAGGACGAGGAAGCTCGGTGTGTCAGGCGCGGGCGCGAGAGCACCCTCCGACACTAGCGCCCCGGATCGGACATCCGGACGCTAGCAAGTCCGTTTAACATATATATAATTCTTGATTAACATGAATAGCCCTATGTTCCACGTCATGGTGATCAGACTCGTTCCCGGACAAGATTTTATTGATCAAGCTCGATAGCAATTCACATGGTAGCACTATAGCCATCCTTCTCCCCACACGTTAACACAACATCTCAACGAGACAACCGATACGGAACACTCTACTCTACTCGTGCAGGTGTAAGCGTAGCATTTCTGTATAATTAACGGCTTGCCTCGGCTTCCAATTTGCAGCTCCAACCACGTGACGACGTCACGCCGCCACCCGTGCGAGCGCCTCGCCTGCGTGCTCGCCGGTGGACAGCCGGAGCCTCCGGTAGTCGCCGTAAGTGAACGCCTTTTACCTGCGCGGGTGGTCCGCGTCCACGAACGACTCCGGAGAGCTCACGCTGTCGTCCTTGGGCGCGAGCAGGAACATGGCGATGGAGATGCGCGCCACGGGCGCGACGCACCGCACCTGGTGCTTCACGTTGTGCAGCCTCCCGTTGCTCCACGCCTGGAAACGCACGACACGGAGACACGGGTAGGGTCGTCGTCGTCAAGCTCTGAAGCACGGCAGGCACGAATTCGACCACAAGCAGATTATATTATGGAGGCGTGGGTACCGTGCCGACGTCGACGATGTTGACGAGGAAGGAGCCCGCGACGGGGTCCACGGGCACGAACTCGCCGGTGGCGGGGTCCAGCACCTCGAGGCCGCCGACGCGTTCGTCCTCCTGGAGCACGGTGAGGAAGCCCGAGTCCGTGTGGGTCTGCACGCCGGAGGAGCCCACCGTCTCGTGCGTGTAGTTGTACCTGTTGATGCAGTACTGGCACGGCCAGTCCTCGAACGAGTGCTCCACTACTAGCCCCAGGCTGGAGGCCAGCTCGCCGGCGACGCCAACGATCACGTCGTGCATCTTCTCCGCGTAGGTCTTGACGGTCTCCCTGCGCACCGGATCGCGTTACCCACTCGCCTGCCGACTGACCCTTCGGCGGGGAAAGGGAAGGACAAGAAAAGGCGCGATTTTGTTGGTGCGGCGCCGCGTGTGAGTGAGGTGTGGCCAACCTGACGTGGGGCGGCGCGTCGAGGAGCGCTCAAAAGGCGTCGACGTCGAGGAGCCCGAAGGCCTCGTAGAGCGGGTTGGCGGGGCTGGGCGCGACGTAGCCGCTGCCGGCGATGACGTCGGCGTTGCGGCGCATGGCGTCGTCAGGGAGGTCGAAGAGCGCGTGCACGGCGTCCTTCATCTCGCCCAGGAGCCCCGCGGGCACGCCGTGGCCGGTCATCCGGAAGCAGCCCAGGCGCTCGCACGCGGCTTGCAGCTGCGCGGACTCCTCGGGCGCCGAGCCGGCCTGGCGCAAGTCGATCACCGGGATCTCCGCCATCCCCGCTGCGCTGTGGCGGCCGGGTTGTGTTGGCCTCGCTCGGTGGCGGATTCGTTCGAGGCTGTGTATTTAGAGGCGTGCGCAGAACGGAGAACGCACACACCATCAGCGCATGCTGGCGCCGCTTGTCGGGCGGACATTTTACGCGACGCGACGCGACGAACTGGTGGCATCCATTTCGCTGCTTTGGTGAGACAAGCAGGTACCGTAGCTAGCTCCTGTCAGCTTACGTTCAAAAGGAAAACATCTGATCGTGAAACCACGAAGCAGAAACCGAACGCATGTGCTGCGAGGCAGCGGTATCTGATTGGTCGCCGACTTGGAGATATCAAAGATTGGATACAAATATGGAATGACTATTTTTAGATAATGGATAAAACAAATATCCGGCCTCTACATCCAATGATGTACACAACCCATTATTACAAAGTTTTGGATGAAAAAAAATGAGAAAGCCATAGTCTTATAGATCGATCAGGACGCTAGTTCAAACAATATAAATGTTTCTATTATTAGATATCTCTAAAGCAATAATTTCCAATTTCTTGCTCATCGTTGAGAGCGCGTCCTTGGCTGTCTCATCACGCTACAGCTGGGTCCAAGAGCGTAACCAGTACGCTCCTCTAAAAATTACCTGCATAATAGAGTTAGATTTCATTTGATTAAAAACAACATCATTACGGCATCTCCAGATAGCCCAAAACATGGCAGCCACCCCTACCCAAATCAAATTTCTAATCCTTTTATTTTGATTGGTTAGCCAACTACCAAACATGTGGCTGATTGATCTAGGTTGTGTCAAACTAGTAGCAAAAAAGATAATCCTCCAAATCATTTTGATAAGGGGACAGTCTAGGAACAAATGTTGGATAGTTTTATTCCCATTACAGCAGATGCACTTTTGACTCCCCTTCCAATTTTTCTTAGCGAGGTTGTCTTTGGTTAAGATGACACCCCTTTGCAAGAACCAAAGAAAGATTTTAATTTTTAGAGGAATTTTTATCTTCCAGATCTTCCTATGACGAAAATGTGTTTGTGTATCTATAAGATAGAGATACATTGAGCGGACAGAGAACATACCTGATTTGGTTAAACTCCATCTGAAATAATCCGAACCTTCCACCAATGCGACATTTGAGATTCGTGCTACTAAACTAAGCCATTCTGTAAGTTTATTATCCACCAGAGCCCTTCTAAAAGAGATGTTTAGTGGGCTAGTAGTCATCACTTTTGAGACTGTTGCATGAGGTTCCCGCACTATATTATATAAAGATGGATATTTAACTTTCAGAGGCTCATCTCCTACCCATGTGTCGTCCCAAAACCTAGTGTTGGTTCCATCTTTAATATCGAATGAACCATTAGCCAGCACCTCATCTTTGATATGCATGAGGCCTCTCAAAAAATGAGAGTCATTGGGTTTGGCTGCCACTTGAGTTAGGCTCTTGGAGGTTAGGCATTTATTTCGTAAAAGAGATTGCCATATGCCTTCTGTGTTTAGAAGATTAACCAACCATTTGGCTAGAAAGTATTTATTTTGCAATTGTAAATTTAGGATACATAATCCTCCTTGGTCCTTTGGACGACAAAGGATGTCCCATCTGGCAAGGCGATATCTATGTTTATCTGAGAAGCCTTGCCAGAAGAACCTTGATCTATAATGATCTAGGTTTTTAATGACCCCCTTAGGGATATCAAAGAAGGACATCATAAACATAGGTAGGCTGCTTAAGACTGAATTAAGCAGAACTAGTCTACCCCCATATGACAGGTATTTTGCTTTCCAACAAGAGAGTTTCTGTTTGAAACGATCTTCCACCTTTCTTCAATCAGAGTTCAGGAATTGTCTATGGTGTATTGGGATCTCTAGATATCTGAAGGGGTATTCCCCTGTGTTGCATCCAAAGAGACTAGTATAAAAGGAGATAAGTGAGAAGGGTCTCCATCACTGAGACGTCCTACAATACACTTCGTGTCCTGTCAATTGTTGGATTTTAGTTTTAATTGGACTTGAATCGTTTTTATATCAACTCAAATCAAAACAATTTTATAAGACTATATTAAATGCTTGGCGTATTAAAGTTCTAATCTCATATTAACATTTTTGACTAAATGTTGACTTAACTCAAATAACTGATTTGTACGTGTGTACTTATTATAAAGTTGAGAGAGGCGAAGAATATGCGACGCCCGTGCTTGCCGATTAGAGGAGCACTCGTTCCGGGACTGAAACGAGTGCTCTCCATGCGTGTTGATGCGGAACTGACACGGCCAGTCCTAGAACGAGTGCTCCTCTATTTCCTCCAGCGGCATGCTGCCGGTGCCCAGATCGAGGTCGCAACTACACGCATGTACGAATCTCTAATCAAATTGGTTAGTCTTGTGATAAGCATAAGGTGCAGATGCATGATTTAAGTAATGTACAGTGCTGTACTGAGGATGATGGCCTATTGGCCATACATGCTGAAAGCACTCAATGAGTGCACTATCGATTGTTAAAATAGTATAATATAGAAGTCTATAGACTGTAATTTCTACTGATTGTATTGATCACATCGCATTGATTTCTCCTGACTTATCAATCCATTTACAATCATGACATCGGAATGCAATGCACTGGACTGAAGAAAGAAGTAACAGGCCGGGAGAGCAAAATACAAAGAGTAATCTGGATGATGAAGAGGAACCACCATCTTGGATGCAGTCAGCTTGCCGTATACGGGCACATCCCGTATTGAAACTATTGTAGCAACAACAGGTGGATGGTGGCGACCTGCAAGGCTGCAACCGTGTATACCAGGCACTGGAGTGAGGCGACAAAAGTTGATGCTTGCGATGGAATATTAACTGGCGACATGGTCTGTGTTGAAACCACCCTCTATGCAGTAGAGGCAGGTGAGGTACCTAAGGTTTTAAATCTCCAGCTATAGCTGTCGCTATAGCCAACTATAGCTGTTTGAGGTTGATCAAACTTTTTGTGTTTATGTAGAACTTAACGGCTATAGCCCGCTATAGCCTCATTTAGCCTCCGCTATAGCTGTTTTAGAAGTCATCCGCTAAATCCTTTAGCCGGAGATTTGAAACCTCCCACCCCACGGAGAATGCTACAAGCGGTCATATTTGTAGCATGGGAAAGGCTAAACACCCTATACATAGTATCAGTTTCAGCTTTCTCGCACGAAGACAGTCACACAAAGAGGCCACGCCCTTGATGGCCTAGCGGTGGACGCCAAGGTGAGGCGAGGCTTGGCTGCACGGGCTCAGGCTCGGGCCACAACGTGGTGCCACTCTGAGGCGTTTGATGGTGCCAACAAATGAGCAACTACTAGGATTTACTCCGTCCACTGCTCAGAAGTAATAATAGGCGGACTTTACTGTGGTACTCTCGAATAACTGTAAACCATTCATTTAAATAGACCGGATGGCTACGATCATCTATTACGTGCTACCTCCTGTGAGGTAATAGATGAAATATGTATTTATTTTGTAAAGTATGATAAATTAAGAAAGTTTTATATATAATTTTTCTTTTATAGATCTAATTGATGCATGCATGATTTATAGGATATAGTGAATCTTTTTAGTTTGCAAACTTTGGACGTGATGTATTTCACTAGCATGTTAGTTTTTTTTTGCATGTAACGTCTTTATGTTAGCTAGTGTCGTGTTAGCAACTTTTTTTGATGCATGTACGTGTTCCACCTGTTGGTTTACAAACTTTGAATGTGATTGATTTTTTTATGTACTACGTTACCTCCTGTGTTAGTTTACAAACTTTAGACGTAATTGATCGATTTTTTCATGCATATACGTGTACCTCGCGTGTTACCTGTGTTAGCTAGCGTGTTAGACTTAGCTATCAACTTTTTTTTTATTTCATATCCGTGTTTATTTTGCGAAAAATCTGTATGTTGCCCGGGTTTTTTTTTTTGCCTCTGTCACCCGATTTTGTTGCCGTCCGATCCTTGCCTCATCTGATCTGCTCCGTCCTTATTTCTTTGTTTTTTGTCTCGCTGATTTGTGGGTCCCGCATTTCAGCTTCTGTTGTTTGGATTTTGGGAATCGCGCCTTTATGTTTTTCTTTTCATTTCACTCTCGCGTCCGCCGCATTCATTTCTTGTTTCCTCGTCTGGTTCTAGAGGCGAGTCGAGGCGACGCGGGGCGACCCGGAGCGATGAGTGTTGATATTTATTAACGCACACAGATAAATCCGCAAGCGCACGGATACCGCTGTAGTTTTCACCCGGAAGTATTCCAAATATTGTATCCACAGGAAACGTGTGAGATTGACTATAGTCTAACTTAACTAGGGACAACAACATGGTTAAGATAACAGGAGTATAGAGGAGATAACAAAGGTCTTCTAGTTCTAATGTCGGTATGCTATGTCTTTTATTATTTAATTCTGGAGATGTTACTAAGGGAAACACAGGCAGAGTATGTTTTCTATAGTAGCTAGGTCCTGCTCGACCTACAAACGGGAGGTGGACTACAAAGGATTCAACGAGGCTATAAGAGTCACCCTCGCGAGCTACCACCGATTCAGAATGTAGGGTACATCCACGAGTAACCGAGTCTAAGCACCACGCTTACACTACGAATACTTTAACCTATGGCCAATAGATTAAAGCACTCAAAAGAGTCGTAAATATGAAGAACAATATAAACACGATACTGACTTGAATCAGAAGTTGATAATCAGAGAAATCTCAGACGCATGCTCAGGTAGAACTTGAATCCACCAAGGTACAAACCATAGAGAAAGCATCGATAGTCCGGTACTACCTCCAAACTCTTCCTTCACTCTCTATCTCACTATTTCTATTTACAAGACTACATCCTAACTTAGAGAACTAATTTTCTCTTGATAGCTAGCTCTGACCCTGATGAGGAGGATATGAATTAGGATTTTAGGATGGCCTCCTAGAGGGGGTAGAGGGCGCCTTATATAGGGGAGATGGAGTAGGGGGCAAGGCATTGCCATGTCATTGATCCGCGTC